TCAATTTCCCCCAAAAAAGTGAAAAATCCAAAAAATTGTTCAAAAACGCACTCTGGTGGCGATCAAAATTAAAAATTAATGCGAAAAATGGATTCTCTGACCCAAAAAACCCCCGTATACACATTTTCAATAATATTTTTTTGTCTTTGAAATGCCTGGTATGTTTTTAAATTTTTATGATGCCATATGTCATCAATAATATTTGAAGGAGCTGAAATCCGCACCAGCAAAAAACGATTTATGTGTACTGGTAAATTGCAACTGGTAAAGTTTTTAAATGAATTATTAAATCTATGCATGTTCGAACTTTTTTTATTGAATTTTTGTAATGTTATTTTATTTAATTTAAATTAAATAAAACACCATATTAAACAAGTAAGAAAGTCTAAGTTCGGGCAAAGCCGAACATTAAATACCGGGCGCAAGTATTAAATATATGTTTTTCACCTTTCCGAAAGCTACCGCTAAATGGTAAGCCGGGGTGTATCAATTTTGAGTAAATTAGCGTCCTTAAATTTCGAAATATTGCAGTTTCAAGCATTTCTGAAATTTACTGTTGTATGAAAAGCTGCCGTAATTTTAGTCCGATTTCAATAATTTTCAACCCTTGTTTTTACCGACAACTGTAGTAGACGTCGCAAGGCGTCATGCTTACTTTTCCTTTCCCCGTCCATCGCATTTCTTGGATGGCGGTGATGTCTTCCCGAGGACATCAACCAGCCGGGCAGAGGCACCTTCCCCATTAAGTTAAGGCCTCCTTACGATAAATACTATTCGAACCTGGGATGTTTCGAATGTCAGGAATAACATTAAATGAACTTAAATCATCGTTTTTTATTACTTAATAATTTTGTACATTTTTAGAACATTTAACGAGTACTTAACCTATACAGTTGGGGTGTTCACAGTTCGTTCCAAATTGTGTCTGAAAATGTAGACGTCTACATTTTGAGACATCTTTAGCATCAAACTGTGAGCACCCCTTTCTAGCAGTCGTCGCAAAATCGTCTCAAAACTTTGCTGGTGTTGCCAGACATTTCTTCTTTGCGTGCATTTTTTATATGTCGCCTTTCGATTTTGTTTCTGAAAAATTGTAATTATTTAACTTAATTACCAATTCCTAATATTTGTTATTTCTTTTCCTTGATTTGTTTCTTTTCATCAGAAATTGCGCTCAAATTAAATGCAAATACAGAAAACGTGCCCAATAAATAAAAAAATTGTGATTAGTATTGCCATAATGCAACCCTGCTGCGAGGTTGCAAAATGTAGACGCGTAAAAAACATACCTTTGAGTGTGACAAAATGTAGACGGCGTCGTTTTCCAATTTTGTATGGGAAACAACAACACCACAGATTTTACGGTTAGAAAACGTCTTAAAATGTAGACGTCTACATTTTGAGACACTATTTGGAACGAACTGTGAACACCCCAAGTGTTTAAATCTATTAGCCAAAGTTCAAAAGCGGCATATTATATTTCAAAAAAAGTAATTTTGCTTCTTAGAGGCTCGTATAATTTCGTAAACGCAGTTTTACATTATTTTTTGATGCCATTCTGTAGGGAATACTCCAAAATACCATAAACTTCACTTTTTCTTTGTAAAATAAAAATCACCATTAGACAGCAATCAAACAAAGTTACACTCTCAAAGCGTTATTGACACGTTGCTTGCGCAACCGGTTTATTTGTTAATTTTAAAGTGCATTTTTTTTTTAAGTTCGAATAATTAAAGGCAATTGTTTAATGGAAAACAAAAGAAGTGACTTTTTATAATTTTTTTGCAAAACAAACTGACTTATTTGCATAACCTCAAAAANTTTGCGCAACCGGTTTATTTGTTAATTTTAAAGTGCATTTTTTTTTAAAGTTCGAATAATTAAAGGCAATTGTTTAATGGAAAACAAAAGAAGTGACTTTTTATAATTTTTTTGCAAAACAAACTGACTTATTTGCATAACCTCAAAAATTTTCTGATTTATTTCCATTTATGATTTAATGTAAGCTTTTACACTTAAACTGGGATGTAGTGAGTTGATNCCATAAACTTCACTTTTTCTTTGTAAAATAAAAATCACCATTAGACAGCAATCAAACAAAGTTACACTCTCAAAGCGTTATTGACACGTTGCTTGCGCAACCGGTTTATTTGTTAATTTTAAAGTGCATTTTTTTTTTAAGTTCGAATAATTAAAGGCAATTGTTTAATGGAAAACAAAAGAAGTGACTTTTTATAATTTTTTTGCAAAACAAACTGACTTATTTGCATAACCTCAAAAATTTTCTGATTTATTTCCATTTATGATTTAATGTAAGCTTTTACACTTAAACTGGGATGTAGTGAGTTGATCTTAAGCCGCCGTTTTTAGCCGTTTCAAGAAAAACAGTTTTTTCTGGGCTATCATGCTATTACAAAAGGCGAGATGTTTGTAGCTTGGCTGATTGGATGTTCAAAGCAAGAAAGGCTTTCTTCGGTTGTCAACCATGTTGAAAAAACAAATTTGGTGCTGTAGATATCTGTAAAAGTTTCATGAAACTCTTAGGAGAAAAAACGCGTATTTTTTGCAATTATTTATCAAACAAAGA